GTTTATGCTTGCTTCATTTAGCTTTGGTTTCAGGAATGAAGCAGGTGTTTGCTTTTGATGAAATCAGTTAAGCACAAACAAATTCTCGGTTCTTTCCTTGCAAGGCTAAAGCCCTTTAGGGGGAAGGGTCTCCGGGCAGCTCGAGGCTGACTTTTCTTAAACCACTAATAGTAGTTGGAGTATAAAACCCAGAAGTATCAGGTACTGTAAAGCTATTGTATTTAAGTACATTAAAAAGTAAAGTTGAAATTGTGACTTACTATACACACGTGAGATTTGGAAGAGCTGGCCTAAGACTTTAAGAGCCAGAGGACTTAAACTTAGCAGGTGCAATAGGAGAACATGCAAATATAAGGAGATAGTGTACTGTGCTGGTGCCACCCTGCTTAGACCCATGGCACTTGTCGCCTGTCCCTGAAGATCAAAGCAGAAATCCATAGGAAGACTGCTCTCAGAACTCCACCTTTCACAGATGGTGCTTGGAGAGTCTGATTATTATTACCACGGTGGCTGCAGGAGTTCGGGGAGCCCACCAGCTGTGAAACTAAGAAACCCCAGGAGTGTGAAGCAAGAAGTTTCCAGGGGGAAATTTATTTCATTTTCTGCACTGAGGTCCCAGAGTAGAGGGAGGTGTGTGTGTGTGTGTGTGTGTGTGTGTGTGCGCGCATGTGTGTTTATTTCACGTGAAAATATTTTTTGATGGAAAACACTTTTAAAATGATTGAAGGGAAGGGCGCTGTGAGCTTTGGGCTTTGGCTGCCAGAAGCCAGGTGGTAACTCATCCATGCTGGCCTCGGGGCTGATAAGGGTAAGGGCGGGGTGCTGAATGGTGCCTCTTTCCTGCTTCTTGAGTTTGTGCTCTTTGACCCAGGGCTGTAACTGCAGCAATGGTCATCAGGCTGTATTGCTGTTAGAGAAGTTTTGGTAAACACAAAGGACTCCACCATTTTGCAAAGCTGCTGCCATATCATCTGGTTAAGGGAGTCAGTGTTCCTTGTCACTCAGGTGAGAGTGAATTTGGAGACAGGATGAGGTGCCTTTAAGAAAGCCAAGCTAACGCCAACTTGATCATTTTGGAGCTTGCATGTGAGCATCTCACAGGCTTTCCTTCCCCATTCGGATGTCTCTCCCTGTGACTTCTGCTAAGAACACCACTTGGTTTTCATTCAGAATCATAAGACTGGTCTGAGGAAGCAGATGCAACTTAGCCTGAAGGGCTTTGTAGTCTGAATGCCACTGTGCCTCTGACTGTGGCCAGAGGCTGCCCCGTGGGCACTGGAGACTTGTTGGCCAGCAGGGCCTGCTTCTCAGTGTTGTCCCATAGCTGTGGGAAAAGGCGAGGCATGGAATTGGCAAGGTGGGCTGGTGTCACAACCAGCAGGGCCAGCGTGCTGACAGCTGTTTCTAGAGGCCTGAAGGGTGCCTGTGCTTTTCTCTTCTGCAGCCAGGAAAATGGGTCATAGCAAAGACAGAGTGCAGGGCATGAAGTTCGTGTTTGCCAGAGAGCAGGCCATCTTTTCAGTAGGCCAGCCTTTATACTAGGACGGTCCTCCTCGTTTATCTGAAATTCACGGTTCACTGGGTGCTCTCTATTTTCCTTGTGCAATCTGGCTGCCCTGAAAGACTGATTGCATTAGATGATCTCCCCTTGCTGTGATGAAACAGTGACCAAGGCATCTCGTGGAAGGGAGAGCTTAGACGACTTTTTAGCTCCAGAGCCCACAATGGCTAGGGCGGCATGGCAGCGAGCGGTGGGCGTGCAGCAGGAGCTGGGAGCTGAGAGCTCACATTTTGAGCCATAAGCAAGAAGAGGTGAGAACGAGAAATGGTGCGGGTTTTTAAACTCTCAGAGCCTGCTTCTTGCGACATATTCCCCACAAGGTCATGCCTACTAACCCTTCCCAGTGTCACCAACTGAGAGATGAGTGTTCAAACATCTGAGCCTATCTGGGGAATCCTCATTCAAATCACTGCGCTGGCTAGAGCAGAGTGTGTTTGCCTCTCCGTTGGTGGTTGTAAATCCAACCAGGAGAAACAGATGTAACCAGGGCTCTGGCATCACAGCTATTGAGCGAGAATCAAGCTCCTTCATTGAGAATCCAGATGGATGCTTCTGCCTGTAAAGTGGTGTAGGCTGGCTGTACACTGGCTGTACAGAAGGATGGTCTCCTATGAATCATGCTTTCAGAGAGTGAAAACAGGTCTGTGTCAGTGCAACGGACTCCCATCTAGGACTTCAGTTCTTGGAAACCAGAGGACGGCGTTGCTTCTTTGAAGAAAGAAGCTCTGTGGGACTGTTATGTGATTTTTTCCCCCCTCTTTACAAGTAACTTTCCAAGGAGCCCTGACTTGGCTGTGTCCACTGCAGACTACTCTGTAACAAGGAAGGATGTTCAAAGTGACCTAGTGCAAAGAATAGTACCTGTAGCCTCATCCTCGTGTGTGCACACAACCACACTCCCCTGCATCCTCATGTGCATGCACAGCCACACTCCCTGCATCCTCATCCTCATGTGCACACACAGCCACACCCCCTGCATCCTCATCCTCATGTGCACACACAACCACACACCCCTGCGTCCTCATGTGCACACATAGCCACACCCCCTGCATCCTCATGTGCACACACAGCCCCACCCCCTGCATCCTCGTGTGCACACACAGCCAAGCCCTCCTAATGATCGTGAGAAAGGAGAAAGGTGTCATTGATTTCTGTCATTGTGTGAACATTGTGAGTGCATATACACCAGCTGAGCCAGCTGTGTTGTTTCTAGGTGATGTCTCTTATGGAACCACTGTCTTCATGCCGCACTGTGCCCCAAACACACCAGCATGGCACACATGACTCTCTATTTCTCTCTTTGAAGAGCCCAGAGCCTTGAGAAGACATTCAGGAACTCTGGCACCTTGTGTTTTCTGCTTTTCTTTTCCTTTCTTCAACAGACAGGGTTAGGGGGGGACTTGGGAAGTGGGGAGGGTGACCCAGTCCCTCTCTCTGGTGATGTCCAGGGTGTTGTCCTTGAATGTGTGCAGATGCAGTGCATATGAAGCCTGAGGTTTTCCAGTTGAGCAGTCACAACCTACTCGGTTACCTTGGGTTTTCACATTCCATGGCTGACCACCTATGGCCTGGGTGGCTGAGGATAGAGGGAGGAAGGGAGGGAGGGAGGGAGAGAGGGAGGGAGGGAGGAAGGGAGGGAGGAAGGGGATTAAAATGCCATCAACAAGCAGCAGTACTTGCATACCTAGAGGGCCATGTGAAGGAGGCACTGGCGTGGCCATTAGGCATAGCCTAGGCTAGCCTTTCAGAAATGCCCTCTCATTGTATCTGGTAGGAGCTCCCAGGAACTATGTGTTCTGGTGAAGTTATTTTGATCATGCTTGCTGATCTAGGTGATCAGTTCCCTGAAACCTTAACACTTTGCCTTTTGTGAACAAAACCAAAACAGAATCTGAGATAAACTTTCGGGGACTGGCCACAGTTCTGGGATCTAGGTCTCTGGGGTTCGGTTGCAGATTGTGGGGATTGTGCCATTCTGGTCATACAGAGTCCTGGACAAAGCTAGTACACAAAGGAATCGTGATTCCATCTTTTCAAGGCTGGTGGGGGAAGCTCAAGTGGGAAGTCTTACGTTTGTATTGCTCATGGGAGACAGAAAACTCCACATCTCCCAAGTATGGCCTTGAGCTGTAAGATTTTAAAAATAAAGTACCGCAAAGCCCGACATCCAGTCAGCGCCTGTGGTGCCCCCTCTGTGGTGCCCATAACAAGCATTGGTGCTTGGGTTCCTGGGGAGGGCCATGACTCATGCCCACATGGGCTTTCTTTGAGCTCTTTTTCCCTTCTGAACGTTGCATTTAGATGACTTGCCTAAATATGGGCTCCGTTTTCACAGGCCTTGTGGTCTGGGCAGCTGGCACTGGATGAGTGAGTCCTTGCCTGTGTTATCAGGGCTGTTGGGTTCTGGGCCACCCACCCCTTGTGCAGCCATCATGCTGATGGCAACCGAGGGGTCCCTGGCTTAGCTCTGGCTGTGTGCAGGCATTGGTGGTATGGCCCCAGAATGTCCCAGTGCAGGGGATCTTCCACCCTCGTCCTCCTTCCAATGTCATTTTGGGATGTGTGGCATCGGTAGCAGCAGAGTCACACGTCACTGATGTGCACAGTGGGGAGGGGTAGCTCAGGACCTTACAGGTTGGCACTTGGCACACACAAGGCGGAATGAATACTGAGTCTCCACTATGTGAGGCTTGGTTTTCTGTTCTTTTAGGCCAAACGTTCTCAAAACAAACAGCTCCCAAGTTTCAAATCACACGCTACTGTGAGTAGCACGCTGAATTAAGCCACCCACCCTGACTCTCCTGACATGAGAAGGGTTCCCCTGTCTCATGTCTGCACTCTGCATTTGCTACCCTGCCACCAATCGTTAGCAGCTGTCTTGGGATCTCAGTACCCAGGGTCCTATGCCCCCCCTCCCGCATTTTGCTTAATGCTGGCCATAGAATGAGAGACTGGCGATGCTGGCCATTGGGGCACGCAAAGAGGAACAACTACAAAGCCGCTCTGCAAGAGAAGAGGTGAATAGTCTCACTTGCAAAAGGAGACCCAAACCCAAAAACAAACCCCACAGATGCAGGCTGAGGTAGCTAAGATCTACTGGAGAGGGCATTGCCTGTCTGTAAAGTTATGGAGGTGAAATTCATGGTAGCTTTTCCATTTCACTTCAAACTGTGAAAGCAATAACTGTGTCCATGGCATGTGATTTGGGCTGAATTATGATAGAATAAAACTTTCATCTTTTTGAATCTGGGTCTATCTGTGGTTTCAAGAATCCATGGGAGACATAGAGACATTTCTATCATAGGAGCAGGACATTTTGCTGTGGAAGATGACATAGGGGTAGCATCCTCATCATGGGACACACCTGTTGTGGTTCTGTTACTTATTTCATCACAGGCTGCTCGCCTCTCTGACCTGGCCATTTCTGTCTCTGTTCTAGGACTGCTTGCCATCAAGGAAGCACACGACATAGAGACCAGGCTCAACGAGGTTGAGAAACTGCTCGAGACAGTCATCAGCATGCCGTGTAAGGTGAGCGAGGCGTCTAGGCGGGGCAGGAAGGCCGGAGTGTCCCATCACCAACCAGACTTAAAGACAGGTCCCCGCATCTCACTCAAGCCCATCATTCCCACTAGACGTCCCAGCAGACAATCAAGGGAAGGAAGGCGTCTGTGAGCTCTACCGGGTTCTTTCGAATCCTGAGGTGTGAAGCAGGAGGAGACAGGACTTCTCTGGAAGCAGCCAGGAGCCCTTTCTTTCTTTCCTCACCTCAGACTTGCTCTCCTGTTAGGTTTAGAACGGACACCAGGAAGCCAAGGACAGTGTCTGCATCTTTGGCAGCCGCAGTGTTCAGTTCCGTCTCCTTGGAACTCACGCACTGAGTCTGTGAGGTTGATGTGAAGAACTAAGAATCCATCCAAAGGATCAGGCAGAACTCCTTAGCTCCTAAAGGTTCTACTTTCCCCACTGGCAAATGGTGGAAGTAGAAGCAACCAAGCTGATAGTACAGGAGGGAGCTGTGGTCTGGGAAGTCCTTCTGTATGTGTTTGCTTGTATTGGTTAATGAATAAAGAAACTGTCGTGGGCCTGCACAGGGCAGAATATAGTTAGGTGGGGAAAACTAAACTGAATGCTGGGAGAAAGGAGGTGGATTCAGGGAGATGCTATGTAGCTGCTCCTGGGAACAGACAAGCCAGAACCTTGCCCAATGGGTTAAATTAAGATGTAAGAGTTAGCCAGTAAGAAGCTATAGCTAATAGACCAAGTAGTGATTTAATTAATACCGTTTCTGTGTGGTTATTTCCAGTCTGGGCAGTGGGGAATTAATAAGCAGCCTCCTACAACAGAGCTGGGTATAATCCACCAGCTATGTGCAAAGCATTCCCCAGAGCCACCCATCCTAGCCAGAGGCTCGCCTATTAGCCACTTGTAAACAAGAAACTACAGTGGTCTACTTACTGGGCACAGGCCATCAACCAGCCCCCACACAGGTCCAGGATTGCCTTCTGAGCATCATATCAGTTGGGGTTACCTCTGTGCACAAAGCCCACCCCAGCACACACACGGGACCTACTGTGGAGAGCTTTTCACCTTCAATAATGACTGTGTTTGTCCCCAGTATTCTAGGTCAGAGGTTGTACTCACCTTCTTTGAAAGATCGCCTCTGGACCAGGTGTTAAAAAATGATAATGTCCATAAAATTCAACCCAGCTTTCAAAGTCCTGTCAAAATATCAGGTAAGAGCCGCAGTGAAGGCGTGGGAGAACTGCTCTGGGTGGCTGTGGTGGTTGCAAGGTCTTTCCAGTGTGGCATTTTGGTGGGCGGGCTCAGCCTCCCCCTTGGGAAGAACAGAGGGCATTTGGTGAGATGCTCAAAGCCACCTGTGGGAAGGGTAAGGGAAGGAGGGGAGACTGGCAGGGACAGAGTGACGGTGCAGTGGTGTCTTTACCACATAGGATGGCAATGCCAGCTGTGTGCAGGGATGAGCTGGATGGGTGGGAGAGGTCTCCTAGATATGGCTGAGTGCACAGGGCGGGTGGTCCATCCGGGCTGTTTGGTCTCTGGTGGCTTCCTGGATTATTTTAAAGGACTGTGGTAACTGGGACCTAATCTCTAAACCTTCTTTCCAGCTGACCACAAGTAGTGAGGCTGTTTGTCCAGGTTGATGTCTGTCCTACAGGCTCCACAGGCTCTGAAGTCTCACTGGCTGTCCAATGGGGCTCTGATTGCTTACCGTGGTGCATGGACAAGCTTCTGCTCTTGAGTCTGAGTGGGAACAGTGCAGAGTCCTAGGCCTGTGTGTTGTATCAATTCATCATTTGGGGAAAATGGGAAAGAGAACAGAAGAACCCTTAAAGGGGTGGGACACGGCTTCAAGATGACCTGGAGGCATCGCAGTTGAGGGGACAGATGAGTTTCAGGCGCAGCCTCTGGAGGAGTCCTCTGTCCCCATCCTGCTTTATTTTATCATGTAATGATCATATCATGATGTAATGATTACATCACCATGCGTTTGTTCTGTAAGACTGAAAATAATGGGGTGGAATTAAAGGGATGAATGCAGATGCCACCTGGGGCTTTAAGTTTGTTTTCATGTGTTTTTTCAAGGACTGGTGAGGGGTCCTTGCTGCTGTGTGAGAACTCGCTAGTGACCTTTGCTCATGGCAGAGGTGCCGCATCCAAGTCTACAAGGGCAGGGATCTTGTCCTTCTTGTGCACCTTGAGACAGCAGACCACGTGAGATGTTATGCCTGGCTCCGGAGACTCTGCAAAATGAGCTGCTGCCTCAGAAATGACCAGGCTTGGGAAGGACAATGAGTAGGAAGAAATGAGGCAGGGGGATTGCCTGCCCCTTAGGCACTGGTGGACCTGAATGGAAAGTGTTGGCTGGGCACTGGTTTGGGAACCCTGGCTTGGCAAGAAGGGAATTTGTAAATGACCTGTAGCTAAAAGTCTTGGTGCAAGGTATGGTGTGGGGTTGTTGCTATGTGAGGCGGTAGTCTGGGGGATAGCTTCTTGCTAAGTGAACTGTTTGCAATTCTTCTGTGGGTTTCTTCCACTGCTGAGGCTCTCTACCCTTCAGTATTCCTAGCCTTCCTATTTTGGCTCCCAGAACAACCAGGCCTCCCTCGAGCCAGAGTTTCCTAATATGAACTGGAGGGCATGAATCTTACCTGGAGTGTATGAAGCGGGCAGCATTCTGTCAGCTCCACTCTCCACTGAGGGAGCAGACACATTCAACAAGCTGCAAAGGCTTCCACATTGATTTTTTAAATGACTTTTTTATATGTGTAAAAATTTGACCTACATATATGTCTGTGCACCACATGCATGAGGTACTTATGGAGGCCAGAAGAGGGCACTAAATCCCTTGAAACTGGAATTAAGGGTAGTTATGAGTCACCATGTGGGTGCTGGGACTCGAACCAGGTCCTCTGCAAGAACAACAGTTGCTCTTAACTGCAGCTGATCCATCTGTCTCTTCAGCGCCTCCTCCCCACTCCCCTTACCCGCAACAACTGATTTCCATTGAAGTTCTTTGTTCAGAAGCACTGGCATCTTCTTGAGGAAACTAAACTGTTCCCTTCTGGGTACTTTAGGTTTTTCAGTGCCTTTATGGACGGGTGTGTTCTGGGGGTGTGGCTCTCAGAAGGAGGCCCAGAGTCTGAGGAGTTCTGGCTTCCCAGGAACCCATGACCTTGACTCTCTATCTCTCCAGAGTTCACCCCATGTGCTTACAGGAGGACCCCAAAACTGTTTTCAGTTCTTTTCTCAAAGCCTTACCAGCAGAAGCAAGCCCAGCTTTCTCGTCATCTCAGACAGATTAAAGTCTGACTGGTGGATGAATTTTAATCTTATTGCGTCATCTCCACACCCTGAGTCTCCTCCCCTGGACTCTGGTCATTGTTTGTACTGTGACCCTCAAGAGTCACCAGGCAAACTCTGCCCACCCACGGCCATTCTCGTCGATTCTATCCATTTAGGAAATAAGGGTTGATGGTCAAGACGTCCCCTGACCCTTCTTCCCCTCTCTTAAGGAATTTCTTCATGCATTCTGGCATTTGGGAGGTGGTGGGTGTTATGGAGTTGGAACAGATCCCCCCCCCCCCCTTGGGATGGTGATTTACTGAGCCTGGACCCTGAGCCTCCAGACTTTTCTCTTTGAATGTTGAGGCTGTAGGTGGTGAGGGCTCCACCAGATGGCACTAGACATTGGTTGTGCTGAAAAAAAAAATCTCAATATTCTGGGTCCTCATCAAAGATGACCACTCAGACTTAAGCATTCCTCTCCCATGTTGATTTAAGTGTTTATTAAGCACGAGAGATCACAGATCTTAAGTGTTCTGCACTGAGGCTGTGACTGCAGCTCCAAGGAAACAGAGGCCTCAGCTCCACCTAGTTAGGGCTGGAAGGACCGCTAGATTCCAAAAATCACGTTGTTGCCATTCAGTGTTTGAAAGGAAATACATTTGTGTGTGTGTGTTCTTTAATCTAGTATCTATTCAATGTTAGCATTAATTTTTACTATATGGGGAGAGACATATCAGCCAGTTAATAAAAGAATATTGTTTATGCTTTTGTTCTGTTGCTGAAATAAACTGAAAATATAATGCCAGGGAGGACTTAGAAAGAAGGAAGGCTATATAGTGTGAACACTCCCATGACTGACTGAAGGTCTGCAGAAGAAATGGAATCAGGGAATTGATGAGCTGAAGGGGTGGTGGTATAGAGTACATGTAAACTGCCATAAGTACAAATTAGGAAATTTACTATCATGGCACCATGCACGTGGATTGGAAGATATTCTAAAAAAAAATAATAATCCATTGATGGAGATAAGATAAGCAGTGAGTGGAAGTTCAAGGAAAATCAGGGTTTGCCCACTATTAACAACGTATTCTCTAAGATATTTGTTAATAGTATTGGATAATGGGCCTATGTAGTACACACATGCACATAGGCATACCCCATATTTCCAGAGGGGCATTCAGCAGGTCCCATGGGATTCCTCCCAATGGCACATCACCTACTTCTAAGCATCTGGGAGTCCAGCTCCACGAAGAGTTGCAGAGTAGTTCACCTGAATTCTTTATAAGTCGTGAGAAGTAAGGAAAGACCTGGAGTCATCCGAGTCAGTTAGCTCAGTGCAACAAGGAGCCCTGGCTGGGATCCGCAGCAGAAGAAAGGGCTGTTATCGGAAGACAGGTGAAACCCCACTGAAGGGGCTCTTCCCTAGTGACATCCTCGTTCCCTGGATGCGATGAGGGACCCTGCATGAAGTGCTGACAGAAGGGGAGCCGCTGGGGAGCACGTCTGAGCCCTGTCTATGTCCTCATGGCTTACCTGGATTACAAAATACAAACATAGGAATACAAGAGTATCTTGAGATCTGGGGTGTGCCTCAGTAACAGAGCCATCACCTAGCGTATTTAAGGCCTTGAGTTGGATCCTTGCATGGGGTGGATGGGGTTAACTTGAAAATGAGCTTTTTCAAGAGTTAGGGATGTGACTTCAAAAATTAAGCTAGTTAGTGATTTTTTGTTGTGGGTTCTAAACTGACATGCAAGAAATTCATGAAGTTTGTTTGAAAATAGCCCAGCGGCCATGGTGCCCATCCCTAGTGACTCACTCCAGCCAGGCCCACTTCCGGAATGATTCCCAACCTTCCAAAGCAGCATGAGCAGCTGGGGACTAAGTTGATGTGGGAGTGATTTCTTACTAATAAAGAAACTGCCTCGGCCCTCATAGGACAGAAAATTAGGTAGGCGGAGTAGACAGAAGAGAATGCTGGGAAAAAGAAGCTGAGAGTGAGTCGCCATGGTTCTCCTGCTCCAGACAGACGCAGGTTAAGATCCTCCCTGGTAAGCCAGCTCGTGGGCTACACAGAATATTAGAAATGGGTTAGAACAATATGTAAGAGCTAACCAATAAGAAACTGGAACTAGCCGGGCCAGGCAGTGTTTGAAAGAATACAGTTTCCGTGTAATTATTTCTGGGTATAAACTAGCCATGCGGGCGGCCGGGTGCCGGGGACGCAGCCCTGCTGCTCCTAATTCAACACTAAGTGTTCAAACACACAAGCCTTTGGGGACCATTTCACATTCAAATCACAGCTTCACCCTTCCTTGAAGACTGGCCCAAGAGTAACTGCCCCTTCAAGCCGTTGTTCAGTGGGTGGACGGCGCCTGGGGAGGGCGCCACTGAACAACTCTTAGCAAAGTGGCCATTTTAAACCGATGGCCCCTGCAATTAGATGCGTGTTAAGGTTAGACTGTCTTTGTTGTACATTTTGAATAATTCCTCAGAAGTCACAGAATTCTTCTCAAGACACTGTTTGTTAAGTGAATGGAGGAGATAAAAATATAAACTGTCCCAGAATCTTTGTTCCAGTTTTAGCTAGCATAGGTATAGGAGGGTTTGGAGCCTGCTGTGGTACCTGTTCTTGTGTCAGTGTTTCTTAGTGAGCCATCCCTCTCTGAGCCAGCCTGGGATGGCTGTGTTAAAGGTTTACAGATACAGCTGTGTGTTGAGAGGCCTGAGGGCTGATGGCTCAGAGTGGTGAGGGTGGGGTGGGGATCCAAGAGGGACCAAGAACGTCTCCGGGATCATCTTTTGTGAGATACTAGTAATTTGAGCAGGGTCCCTTTGTGACCTGGGGGCAGGACTCTGAGGGACTGGAGACCAATATACTTATTGTCCTCAGAGCCCAACTGGCCTTGGGAGTTTTAGATCTCATTTATGTTCCCAAAGGCTCTTTGTCATAGACAACTGAGGAGTGACTTGTTCCAAATCTATTCTGGAGGGACCAGTATAGACTGTACTTCCTGGACTCTGCAGTATACATTAGACATGCCAATAGCTCCAGGAGTATGGACAGAAGTGACTTGCATGAGTGACATCTATTTGAACTCCCAGGATCCTTTCTCCAGCCCGGATTCCCTTGGCAAGGGGGTGGGAGAAGGAGACCTAGGCTGTCAGTCAGCAGTGTGGAGGCTGCACAGGGACTGCTTGCACTTCCTCAGACAGACAGATTTGGGTCAGAGTTAATCAGAACAATAAAGAAATTGGCTCTCTGCTGCCTCCCCCTTTGAGTGGGGAGGCTAGGAATCGGAACTCGTGTGGGGTTTGCTGGTTTTCAGTCTGACAGCTCATTGGCTAAGCATCTTCCCTTTGTTCTTCATACAAAGAAAATGTAGCTGGCCCAAGTTCCCAGACCCACCCCTTAGTGGTTTGTAGTGTCTCTCCCAGGTGGAAGAGAGAGGAAAAAGGCAGGGGAGGAAGCCAGAAGCTGATAGTGCCCCCCCTCACCAGTGCGACTGACTGGGAAATGCTACAGGAGACTCAGCACACATGTTAGCTCCTTCTCCAGAAAGTTCCATGTGCTTTTCAGCGAGGACTTGGGAAACTGACTGAACGATAATTTTGTGAGAGGAGGAAACCAAGTTTTCTTTATTCTTTTTGGGTGGTTCCCTGACTCTCCACATATGGAGAGGAGTTCGCAGAATGGAGCACCGAGTGCCTAGAAAGGTTAAAAATAACAAACAGGAAGTAATAATTTCTTCATGGAAAAGCCAATTTCTATACTCAGTAATAAATTAGACCATGGTCAAGTGGGGAGAGGACTAAGATAGTCCTTTAGAAACAAAGGCATCTGATGTCCCCTAACCCTTTAGACGGGAGAGATACTCTTGTTGGCTGTGTGTGGCAGGAGGAGAGGAGGGGCTAAAGGCAGCTGTGTCCCCTTGTGAACTAAACATACCCATTCTCTGGAGTATGTGTTAAGCGTGTATTTTAGGGTGAGAGCCTGGCTTGAGAGAACCAATAGAGATGGTCCTGAGAATGAAGCTCAGCTGCTTAAGAGTCAAGGACCAGAGATGAGCAAGTCTCACAGAGAGGGGAAGAGCCAAGGCCAAGATGGCAGCTAGTCCCTTCTGAAATGTCAAGGCTGTAGTAGATAAAAGAGAGAGATCCAAGCCTTTCTGGGTTTTGCATGGTAAGCTTTCTGCATCTGTGGGTCCAGAATCTGTGGAGTCAACCAAGCGTAGGCCAAAATACTAGGGGAAAGTACTATGTCTACCAATTGAGCGTAGTCCTTTCTCCTCAGTCATTATAATAGTGATTTACATATCATTTACATTACCAGGTATTATACGTGATCTAAAGATGATTTAAAGCCTGGAGGGAGGATGGGCGCAGAGTCCAGAAACTCTGTCCCATTTTGCATTAGAGATTTGAACATCATAAGCTTTGCTATTCAAAGAGAGTGTGTCTAGCTAAATGGATGCTTGCTTGCCATGATGGGGTCCAGGACATCATGGGATACTAGAGTTAGGTAAATCCTTAGAGGTTCTCAAATACAATCTTGGAGATGTCCCATGGAGAAGAAGAATTTCAAGGCCATGAGGCCTCCAGCTTAGTGACTGCCACCAACCCTTCACTTCAGCCCTCTCCTGAATACTTACCTTATTATGGCTTTGGTTTTCAGAAATCATGAGGTCCAATGGATTTTGTTTGGCAAACACAGAGACAATAGTCATTGACCACAGCGTACCCAATGGGAAGGACCAGCTCCTGGACGCGGACTCCACTGAGCATCTGTGAGTACACAGCTTCTGATGCGCTTTCATACTTGGAGTTGAAAGCTGGTGGCCTGTGCAGTGCTCTACGGGGAGGAATGGATGCGGCCCATTCCAATACGGACATAGCCGCAGACTCTGCCAGTTTCGGGGTTCCTATTTTAAAAGCTTGCCTCATATTCTGGTGAGAGTTTGGTTAACTGATCTAGGGAGAGACTAGTCACCCAGTCTGTTGCAAAGCTCCAGCATCTAGTTTGTGCTGGCTCTGAGGTGTGAAACCCTGTTTTCTGGTCCAGGATCCAGGATCCTCAGCCTTTACACTTCCTGGACTAGGGCTGTGACACACATGTGGTCGCCCACGTTTATGAGTGCTTCATTAGAGCCTTATTCTAGAGAGGAGCCTTGATTCCTGAGGGCTGGACAACCAAAAGCCACGCCTACATTCCCCACCCCACCTCCGCAATGAGCTTCTCTCCAGAATGTGCTGCGGAGAGCCTGCCACCTAGCGGCCAGCAGGAACAGCCACCTGCAAGCTTGGCTCCTGACAGCTCCCTGGTGAATCACAGGGGTAGCAGAGTCCTCAGACGGGGTGACAGGAGAACTGGCTTTGTTTCTGGATGTCCCTGGGAATTCTGTGAAGGCAGACCTAGGCCCTGTAGCAGCTGGTGGTGTGAAAAGGTCTCCAACTGACTCCTCTGCCACGACAGTCCCTGGCCAGCACCTCGTCACACAAAGCTGAAAGACTTCTCTCTTTTTTTTTTAACACTCATTCAGTGTGCACCCTGACAGTCAGAGGTCTCCAAGGAACTGCATGTGATGGGTGCAGCATCCCGTGGTGTCTTGGCCAGGCATGCCTAGTGGCTAGGCAGGTCAGGGGATTACTCTGTCAACACAGTTTCTTACCACATTCTCATGCAAGCTTCTAAGATCATGCCCTCTGAAATTCTTCAGCATTCCCGGTAACTGCCCCAGAACACGCATCAGTCTCTTAGAAGTAGGCTGGTGAACCCTCAGAGATTGGAAGGCTGGTGGCACTTGGTGCTTACCACGTGGCCCTGGGCTGTGAGTAGGGGCTGCCATGCAGTGGCGTCTCTGCAGAGAGTGTGCTCATTTGACCCAGAAGGAAGGTGGGCACCAGTGAGTGAGCACTGAGGGCGTGGTGTGCCTGATGGAGGTAGGACAGGAGGAGCAGCAGGGCGCTTGGCAGTGCTGGTCCTGAGCCATTTTTGGCAGTTCCTCAAGCATCTTTCTTTCCTCCCATCTTCAGGACATCTTTTGGTCTGAGGTGGGTGATGAAGGCAGAGCAGGTGGTGGGAAGTTCGGGACGGTGCTGTGCACACACGGTGTAAGCTCCCCACATCCACGCGATTTTCATTCTCCCGAGCCTGAGTCAGCCTAGATCACACCAGGCTTGGCCACCAGGTAGAGTTTCCCTCCATGACCATAGGAAGCCCCTGTAGTGTCCCTTCCTGGTGTCCTTGAAGCTCCTGTTCCCTGAGGACAGATCGCTGACATCTGCCCATCCCCCCTGCTGCTCTCCAAGCTGACGTGGGGCCTGACACAGAACAGTAGCCGGAATGTCACCACAAAGAAAGAATGAGAGCCCCGCTGACCCGCTGAAACAAATGGGGACAGTAATTGCAAGGGCACCAAAGCTCAGAAGCTCTTCCTGTGCAGTGCCCTCTGTGTTTTCCAGTTTGTATATCCAGGGTTCTTCCCATGTGTCTGCTGCGTGTCTGGGAAAAACCTCATCTCATCGATGCCCCTCGTCCCCTTCCACAGAGCCTGGATCCCCCAGTGTCCCTGACTCTAGCTGCGGTCCTGTAAGGTGGCCTTCACCTCTGTCATCTGTTTCAGGTTCGAGAACGGCAGCGAGTTCACCGCAGAGCTGGAGGATGGCGATGACCCGGCAGCTTATGTCACCAACTTGTCCTATTACCACCTGGTTCCGTTTGAGACAGACATTTTGGACTGAGCCTCCCATCGGGCCTTCTCTGCCTCAATCCTTGACTGCATGTCCTCATGATGTCCACTGTGTGGCCCCAAGGGCCATAGCTGCTGCTCAGCCTGGGCCTCCCAGGGTCCTGAAGTTCACCAGGCCTGGATGTCCTGAAAGCGGAGGCACAGGGGGTTCTTGATGTCCTCAGGCTGTCCTCAGGCTGACTCCAGCGACAGGAGGCCACACCTCCTGTACCTCTGAGAGGCCTTCTACCTGCCCTCAGCCTGCCAGCTTGCCTCTTCTCCTGGGACACACTGTTCCTGCAGGCCAAGCTTCCTCTTGTTCTCATTGCCTACTTGAGGGGAGCATTCCACTTGGTCACATGGTTCTGACTCCCCACGTTTCTCTCATGTGTCAAAAGGCACAAAGCATTTCAAGAGGATTTTTGATCAGTCACCGAGATCTGGACCACAAGGGCAGGGGATAGTAAGTGACTCGGGGCTTCCCTGAGATGTGTGGCTTTTGTTTGTTTGCTTCACATCTCCTCCCTGGAAGCGGGGTTTGGGGTCATCTGGAAGGAGTGTTCGCAAAGGGTCAGCCCTGAAGGGGAGGGGGCGCCGGCTTCAGGAAGGGGAGAGTGTGCACCGTAAAGTGCATACGAACCCAGCAAGTTTTTCTCCAGAGAAGAGTTCCCTCTCTCTGCCAGCACCCGAGCTCTTCTGCCAGGCTGTGATACTGTTACCACCACCGAGGGTGCTTGAAGTTCCTCCCCTGGTGCACTCAGTGGCATAATTGCCCTGATGAATCAGGAAGGATGGGATGGGGAGGAAGAGAAGCTTACAGCTTGGACCACAGGAAGGTCTGGGTCCTGCGAGCTCGCCTCCTCACTGTGTCTACTAACGACCAGCACTCGCTAATGTAAATAATAGTAAATTATTGAAAATTCTAATTCTTTTACACAGTCTGTTTTTAATCTATTTTAATTAAATAAACTCTATTGTTCTACTTTGATCGAGTGGGGTTGTTTGTGTAAAAAGTTGTGGTTCATTTTGTCCCTTGCCTAGGGACAAGAAAGAAGGCAAAGGCTGACATCCAGCCCCCACCCCACCTCCACCCTGAGACCTGACCCTAGCACTCACTCTTCCTGACACACTAGTATTTAGGAAATGCGTTCTCTCCCTGGGGAGTGATCTATTCAAACCAGATAATGGACAAACAGCTTGGGGTGGCTTTCATTTTGACTTAGGGGTTTCCCCTTCTCCTCTTTCCTCGTTGGCAGTCACGGGAAGCTTCTCTGGTATTTCCGTGAATTTTTCCTTCCAGCTGTGTTCAACTTACAATGCCTCCTGCTTTTCATATATGCTTCTGAGGGACTGACTGGGGTCGACCAGCTATCTTTGTTGTCTTACTGTCCAATTAAGATCAAAACAAAAAGAGTTTCCCTTCGTGATTAACACCGACACCAATAAAACCAGGCATGGTACATATGTCTTCAATCTCTACTTTAGGGAAATAGAAGCAGGAGGACCAGTTTAGGTCTTCTTTGGCTATATATGGACTTCAGTGACACCCTGTGATACATGAGACTCTGTCTCAACTCTCTTCCATTACCCCCCATCCCAGGAAGAGAAAAAGGGAAGTACAAACAAACAGGTTTTGTTGTTTGTTGTTGATTGTTTTGAGGCAAGTTCTGACTGGCATGAATTCTAAATCTTCCGTCCTCAGACTCCTGAGTGCTGGGATTGCAGATGGATATTCCTTACAGTGTATGTATATATGTATAGTGTGTGTGTGCACGCACGCATGCTTGTAAAAGTCAGAGACAGTTTGCAGGAGTCAATTCTCTCCTGTTACCATGTGGACCCCAGGTATCGAACTAGGCGGCAAACACATTCACCTGCTGAGCCATCTTGCCAACCCCCGAGCCACTTCTTTCCTCGACATTTAAGTATGTTCAGATGGGTCTTACAGCCAAGTATTGGGATGAAGTCTTCCTATTCGAAGAGTATGCAATTCATGGCTAATCAATTGGGTGTTCATTTGGGAAGTGCTAATCATGGACGCTGCTCTTTTCTTAGGATTTTATTTTAAAATTTAAATCAATAGATATTGTTTGCACATGGCACAACATTCTAAAGTAAAGTATTGCCCGTTGAGATGCTAGTTCCTGCTAACCCTTGCTGCCTAGCCACTCAGTTTCCTTATGTAGGAACAGCTGTCATCGCCAGTTTCCTGGGTAACACCCGAAAAGCGTATAATTTTGTTAAAAGCTAGCATAACTGTTCATGCACCTGCATCTTGTACTTCATGATTTGGATGCATATTCTCAGGAGAGCTTTTCCTTTCTTTCTACTGACATCTGTTTATTTGGCTAGGCTACGCTCTTCCTTTCATATATTTCCCCATGAAACTTCCTGTTCCCTTTCTCTTTTAATTAAAACCTGAAAATCAATAACCACATACTTCAGAATATTATCCATTTACTCAAACACCATTAATTCAACAGATAGGTACAAGGTGTTATCTGTAAGAACATAGGCTGCTCTAGCACAAGGAGAGTACCAATGAATAGTGACATTCATTTCTAGCAGATGGGGGATGCATAGACTAGTTAACAAGGATAACAGATGTGAAGGGAATGTGTACGGTTTGAAATGCAATGACTACATAGGTTCACCTGGGAAGGTGAAATGTGAACAAATACTAAGAGATGTTGGGGGAGCAGGTCCTTTGAGAGCCTTGAGGACCTTGGAACCATTATAGACTTTAGCTTTATTTTGAGTGAGATGGAAACTGTTGTACGGTTCTGTGTGTAAGATAGGCTGTGTGTAAGCATCAGCCTTGGTTTGAGGTAGAGAAAAGATTTGAGGGGGTGAGGCTGGAAGTAGGGAGACTATTGTCAGGACATTTGGGATGCTAAAGCAAAATGGCTTCGACTCGGTCATTTATGAACAACAGAAACTCATCCTTCACAGTTCTGGACTAGAAAGTCCAAGATGAAGAAGCCAGTAGAGCTGAGTCTGTTGGGAGTCCATCACCTTTTATGTGTTTCCTCGTAGCAGACAGAGAAAATAGGGTCCCTCCATCCTCTCTCATAAGAGAACTAATCCCATTCATGAAGCTGGCGCCCTCATGGCTACTCATGCTCCAAAGGCCCTCTTGTTTATTGACCAAACGTTTTAGGATGTTACTTTTGAAGCGCCACAGAGTCCAGAAACATGAACTAGAATGACAGCAGGACAGCAGTCAAAGTGATGAGAGAGCTGAGTGGATCTGGGGATGGTTGAAGGATAGGTGGTACTTATTTTGGAAGAGAGAAGTTTGGGGGTTGTGGTCCTGCCATTCAAGAGGAATGGGATGATTTTGTCTTATTCTTAGTAAACAAACAAAAACTAGCAGTAAAGAAATGAAAATTTCTGGTGCTACATTAATATAATATATGTGAAATTTCTGGAGATGAAAAATCAGCTTTACTGGAAAGAGAAACTTTCAAAGAAAAATGAGATCAGTGATTCTCAAAGTGGCATCCCTGAACTGTCAGCATTGGAATCACTTGAAATATTTTATGGCTGATTATAGGCATAATTGCAATGAAAACAATCAGTAGAAATAACACAATTAAACCAAACTTACTTCATTTGTATTAAATGTTAAGAGAAGTTATTTTCAAATCAAGATAGGTTTTGATCAATTAATATTAATGTCCAACAGATTATACACCAAGAAACTGATACTACTTTGCATCCTAGCATAGTTATTTTCGTTTAAGCCCTTTGATTTGAAGTTATTTCAAGCAAGTTCCTATTATAAATTTAAGTTTGTCTCTTAAAACAAGTGGGAACTTTTTCAGATAGAAATACTCCTAATGAAAAGACAGCCGTATCAGTAGCAGAACATGGTAATGAGTTAAGAAAACTTGCTGGATTTAAAACCATTCATAGCAAACTACTAGGAGGGAAACCAAGGGCAGCAGGTAGACAAATTGTCCTGGTTTGTTTGCTTGCTTGCTTGTTTTGTGAAACACTGAGTTTAATTAGGGTTAATCACAGGATCATGGGCAACTTGCCGGTGGCTACACCACTGATGTAAATTCCCCCCCCCCCACAGGGAATGGAAAGATGGGGAGACAGAAAAGGACTTTTATAGAGTCCCAAACACTATGAAAGAACCCTGTTCAGGGGTGTGTAAGATGTTGTCTCTGTCCTCTAAAGAAAAAAGGATAGCATGTTCAATACCATAGAGCAGCATGGCTTGAAAGAGAAGAAGGGGAAAGGGATGAGATGGGGAAGGAAAAGGAGAGTAAAAAGCTTGCACTTACAGTAACAAGTGTGAGCAAGGAGTTGTGCTAAGACAGCTACCAGATCATCTGGAGAGTTTCTTTAGCGTTGTAGAGATAGGACCCCATGATGTCATCCTCTGATCAGCCTCACCAAGGCAGTCCACTCAGGAGCACACACACGTTTAGTCCATCGCTGGCCATAGGACTGAGCCCCACAAGTTTTGTAGTGTTTGCCTTTATCCGGCCCACACTCCAGGCTCGATTGGGCTTAGAACCAAGCTTCTTGCAGATCTGACCTTTTCGGGAATGTGACTGGAATCCAGATAAGAAAACAGCTTGAAAGGCTCCGAACTCGTCAGCAATGCTTAGCCCTGATGAAGTGAGATCTAGCAACAATGCTCACCTCACCCAGCCCCACTTCCAGACCTTGGAAATGGTGTCTTGTGTGAGAGAAGGGCTGAATAGCCATGTCGGAAGAAGCATATTGTAGGGCCTTAACAGCACTTTCCCCTACAACACCTTCAGGCCTTCCAGGAGCCCTTGTTTTCCTGCTAATCCAGTTCAACTTGATTCTCAGTAGTCTCTGGGGAACTTGCGACCCCTGACTCCCAACACATACCGGGAATAGTGTCTTGTCTTACTACAAAGGAAACACCAAAGAATAACGGTGGGGTGGCCTGCTTGTGCACTCCAGAGCTGGCTCATCTACTAAAGGAATACCAGAAGCTGACAGAACCCTGGAGGCTTGGAAAATCTCAGCTTGGTCTACAGGTGGCAGCCACACGCCCTCCACAGGCTTTGGCAGATGGACTGTGAGCTGAGTGTCCTAAATACCTTGGTCTCGACATGCTGGCCCAGTGTGGAGGCCGGCCGTACATCTGGATTTGCTGGAATGGCCAGGTGCCTGACAAGGTGAGCACTCTAGAGGATGTGCTTGCACATGGGGTCCCCTTCTTCATACACTATTCCCCCGAATCCACACTGAGATTGACAGCCATTTCCAACCTCGGGAACCACAGAGCTAATGTCCCTGCTGCCACCACTAACCAAGACATTGCCTCTCAGTGGAGTTTCTGATCGGAAGTAGATTTACTATCTCATGTGTTTTTGTTACCCACACTGCCACAAGCACCCCTCCACCCTGACCAGAGTCCACAGTCAAGCAGAAGTCTGTTTTGGAGATGAATTCACTCGAGCATCTTTAATGTTGATGAACTTATAAACATCCAGCAGGATTGACTAGACTTTATCATCTCCTAGATAACCAACTGGGAACGCTGACTTTGAACTGGGCCTAGCTGATGCCGGTGCAGGTGAACTGGTGAGCTGACACCCCATCCTTTCTCAGGATTAGCTTTTCCCCTTCCAGACTGCCCTTGGAAAGCATAGCTCACTACTTGACTGTCCTTCAGGGTTAACTTGGACGGACTCCGGGTTCTTCTGTTGTTACTCACTGTTGATAACTGTCATGGCACCTCAGTGGTGAAGTGGTTGTAGGTACATCCTTTCTTTTCTTGTATCAGTAGCATCACCGCTGTTAGCCCAGTCATGAGGCTGCAGTGCTCAGACTGACCTGGGTTCATATGCTGGTTCTACTCTAAGAATCTTGTAACTTTGTTTTATTTAAAATTAATTTAATTACAACAATTCTCCCTTTTTTCTCCCTCCAACGATCCCCTCACATACCCCTTCCCTGCTGTCCTTCAAATTCATAGCCTCTTTATTCACAAAC